ATATATATATAATTTTAGTCTACCGCTTTTAAAAGTGATTTGTGTGACCCAGCTTACCCTACGAGTCTCGGCCTGACAGAAGGGACGCATCTAATCCACTGACCAATATAGTTATGTATTTTACATTTAGTCACTTCACAATAATATGTAAGATGTAATATGTGTAGGCTTTCAAATACTAATTATTTCTAATTACTAAACCTTGTTAGGAATGATTTCAGAACCCAGAATTGTCCACCATATAGGTAGCATAAGTACTTTATGGCTACATCAAGCAACTTACTGCACAAGGTGCGTTATTGTGTTGAAGACCTTACATTTTTGAGCAATTGGATCATTTTATAAATGGCATTACAGAAACTATCTGTGCATGGCCACCATATAGGGCATCCATGTCAGCTTTGGTGGTATTATTAATGACTGGGCTAGGATAGGTAATGGAAAAGGTATCTTCAATGTGATAGAAAAAGGATTCCATCGCCCCATTCAGATCAGTTCTGAGGTTACACTTACAAAGAGGAAGTCCTTGCGTTCTTACTGTTACTGACAATCCGTGTGTGATCAGGACACTGAAGCCTTTGTCACTGGCAGCACAAAGCTCTTCACTATTAGTATCGGTTCATGATAAATGCACCTATTTATTACCAACTAAGGTTTCTTAACATAGGTTGTTGGACTGCATGCTGAAGAAATATATGAATAAAAGGGTGCGTTTTTGGTTGATAGATGCTGCTTGACCCTTTCTGCTCATTTGATTCTTTTGCACACAAATTCAAATTTAGGGGGAGGTGCTTTTTCCTCTGTTTTTGGGTGAAGGAACTCTACCCTTTTCTACAATCCCGTAACTACAGCATCAATAAGCACAATGTTATAGCTCCCTCAAAGCCTTTCTACCTCTGGTGCTGCATTCCCTTCATAAACCTACTTCACATTAGTCAGCCCTGTGCATGCACTAGTTTGCCTGTGGAGAACGGTGATAGAAGGTGATTGATCCGCCTTTTACATGCACCAAGTAATGACCTCTACTGTCGTCATCTTCTGTGGTTATGACCCATCTGTTTATTGTCACATGTGCTGACTGACTGGAAGTCCCGGTTTTATGAAGATAAGTCAGCACTGGAGGGGACAGGTTGTGGAAGGGGGCAGAAGCTTTATCATAGCTTCCTTCTAATTACGCTTTTGATGGAGAACATTTAATGGACTTCAGAAAAGGTTAAGTTGTCCTATTAAAGTGCTTGAATGCGTTTTTAAGGTTTAGCTCCCAAGTTTAGTGTTAGAGGTGTAGCAAGGTCACGAGGCACCCGGGGGCAAGTCTTTCATTAGTGCCCCCCCCCCACAAACCAAACCATAGTTCAATCGTGATACACACGATCCATGCAGTCTGAAAGATGAAGGACCACAGACTGAAAAAAAGGGGGGTCGGTAACCTGCATGCCAGCGGTTACCAGGGCCCCCTAAGTGGCGGAATGCTCTAACCCTGGTATTTCTGCCACTGCATAGAGGTCTACAAATCCCAGCAATACATTATACACCAATGCAGAATACTATCATCTATAGAGAACTGGTGTTGGGTCTAGTACCCTGGTCCATGGTGCCAGGGAGCTCTGGGCCAGTTCCTGGTCTCACTGGTAGCACACGGCCCACACCTGCTCATCATTGATGGGCTGCTCCTAGGTATTTATGATTTCCCCACACCCCACTGCAAAAATTGGCCTTTTGCCACCCTTCCCCTCTGGATCTGCCACTGACCTGACTTTCAATCCCAGCTATGGGGTACAAAGCCCACCTGATCTCCCAAGCTAGCTATGGTGTACAGACCTCACCTGACTTTT